TATAAGTTTGATTGCATCATATAATAATTGCTGTTAATAGTGTTCATCGTCTGTTTTATTACGTCTTAAACTGATTTTTCCGTACATTTCTGCCATATGTACATTAACTGACAGTCACCACTGATAAGCTACCACTAAATATTGTAGAAACTTAATTTGCTGTAAAGTTGCTTTGCAATGATTTGTATCGTGAAAAGCGCTGTACAAATAAACTTGACTTGACTTGACTTGACTCCTCTGGGATTTGACTGAGCCAATGAGGAATGGTACCTTTGGAGGGAGATTTTACGACTCTTTGTCTCAGAGCATGGTATTTTGCATATGTATTTCGATTGGGTGTTGATGCAAAAACTACTAAAGATTCTTAGAACACTAATATATTGGATATGTGTGCTCATTCAAATAAAGGTTTTCCTATGAATTAGAGAAGAGTCCATTTTTATGGGCATTGTTTTTCCTATGGTTGAAGGATGGTGAGAGGGAGAACTCTCACCATCTTTCAAGGCGTAAAGTTTATCTGATCTGGCTGAGGTGTCCTGATTGCCATGGTAACCAGAGGCCTGGGGTCGTTCCCAGAAATGCTGGCACCCAGTATGTTGATTGGGTGAGGGGTCTGTGATTATTTGTTAATCTAATGAATAATTGATTTGTTAAATCTAATGAACTAATGTGTGTCTGATTGGTCCAAATGCTACACCCCTTACAGGAGGTGAGTAAAAGCAAAGGAGGTGCTCTTCTTCAATAAGTGGCTGAGAAGAGCAGCAAGCCCCTTTGATGCAGTACCTGAAAAGTTTAAGCAAAAAGCATGTTGTCCTTACCCAGATGACGTTGTTAGCATTTGAATAACAACCTTTAGTAGCAAAATGTACATACTATGCATTAAGTAACAGCATGTTACCGATACACTAGAAACTTGTTGCATGTTGCTGAGTTAAACAGTGTGTTGGCAATAATTGTTGGATGAGCTTAAAGAAACGGCATTTCCAATAATAGATGAGCCTTAAGCAGCAAGCATGTTTCATAAATCAGATAGCCTTAAACAACAGCTCTAAAAACAAACCTCTGCTGTGGTAAGTTTAACTGGGTACCAGTGTGTCGAAATACAACCAATAAGCCTAAAGCAACAAGCATGTCTAGCAACAAACGTGTTACTGAACAATTAACCTTAAACAAAGAGCAATATTTGCCAATACCCTGATAGCTTTAAGCAATGAGAATAAAAGAAGAACCTTAGCTTAGCTTTGTGAAGACATTCAGAGATGAATAAAGAGTGAAATACAGCCAGCTGTTCTTGATATCTTACTCCTTCCAGCAGGGAAGGCAGGTCTTGTGTAAACTCTTGTTGATGCAGTCACAGCACAACTTCAGTGATGATTTGCAGGCAAAGAGTCCATGTTGATGATATGTCGCTGCAAGAAGCAGTGCTCTACAACAGTGAAAGGAGTGAAATTATTTCCTTATGAAATTAACTCTTCATGAAGCCAATACTCTGGAACTCACACAATACAGACGCTATGCAATAAAACAATAAAACTTATCTGGAGAAGAAATCCTCAAAGAGAGCAAACAACACCTCTCTCCTTGCTCATTACGACCCCCTTCCCTCTCTGCCTCTCCCTCTTTTCCCCCAAAAGGGTTCACTCAAAGTTCATTAAAAATATGCATATCCCACATATCATGTAAATTGTAAACCTGTTGTTTTTCCCCTTCATGTTTGGTATCATTTTAAAGGTCTTTGTGCAATATGTAAATTGGTTTCAATTTCACAGTAGTCACTTATATTATGAGAAATATTGAAAACTTTTGTAGAATTGTGTTCTGCTGAGGAGGGGGTGTGTTCCCCTTTAGGGCCTGTGAGAATGTTTATCTATCTCCAGCCAAGTGCAACCCTGGAGCACGGGAACCTAAAAAACCAAAAGGTATTTTATGTTTTTACAATTGATTTAAAGATTTCTTTGTTTTTGTTCTGGTCGTATTTAAGGGAAAGTTGCAAATCAGTCTTTGGGACTCTGTAGTCAGAAAAACACCCATGCAGTGTGTGAGAGTCTATGGAGCTCTGCACCAGAACTCTCGCTGCTGTGTCTCTCTGCTGTCAGGTATGATTCAAAAATGTAATTGTGTTAAACACATTGTGCCCATAGAGCACACTGTATAGTTGTTTGTGCTACTACATGTGCACATAAGCTAGTTAAGATTATTCTTTAAAAACACATGATTACTTTGCTGTAAGTGTTCTTTGAAATACTTGGGTAAAAGGTTGTTGCTGCTATGCATTTTAGACCGTGTGTCTTGTGTTAAATTAGGATAACTGTTACATGTGTGACTATGTAAAATTTGTTTGTCTCCTGCGTGGAACACTTGGCTATTTTCCATATAGCTACAGTAAACCATGTACCGGAGCAGGGTTGCCACGCGGATACAATATGTTTCACAATTGCATTATCCTTTGACTTCTAATTATTTAATTATTTAATTGGCATGATACAATTTTACATGACTAATAATAAATTGTTATATTTGATTTATTCGGATCTCTTCTGAAATAATTTTTCTAGTAGATTATTGTGTAGTCTAACATTTCCGCAAATCTGCGTCCAGGACAGATCATACTTAAGTACCAATGAGCGGGGCAGGGGGCTCTCCATTAGGGATCTTATGATTTCTGTCTGTCACCTGGCTTAACAAGTTACAGTTTTCGTGATTATAGGAAAAATACACTTTTTGTTATTTGCTAGCAGGGTGCGGCACTTAAAGGTATTATAATCACCCTGTATCCTCTGAGTAAGTTCAGAACTGGCGAGTTTGTGTTTGTGAGTTCACAGTTGGCCGAGTGAATTTCTAAGCGATGGTAGGTCCTTAATGAATGAATAATTGAAAGTATGGGTTCCCTTTCATGGGAACTTCGAACTGCGTCCTCTAGGGGTCGCTATGGGGAACACCTCGTCGTGAC